TAAGCTATCTAGTTGGTACAACCATGTCTTAAGTAAGATTCATTGTTTTTTTTGTTGCCTAAAACTGAATTTACTTCGGATCAGACAGTGTGTTTAGTTGAAAGGTAATCATTTGATTAGTTAATTGCATCTTTCTTCTTTCCCTGTTATTTCTATGTAGAATATCATCACCCATTTTTATAGGCAGTGTAACCGTTTAATCTTATTGTATCATGCGTTCAATTCTACGCAAAGGCTCATCTCATTTCCTTCAATTCATCCATTTTTGGTTTACTGATTCGTTATATATTTATCCTTCAATGGTACGCTCACTTTTAATTTGTTCACTGTATGTTACTAATCGTCTCATGAAAAATGCCATGAACTCATCCGATTAACTTGTGCGGAAGCTGAATTTTTCATGTAACCATTTTATTGTATAAGGATTATCCAGATGAATCAGTTTCTTCTTTTGATCTTGGTTATTGTTTGCTCAACTTTTTTGTATATTACTCGACACTACTTTATAGTTTCTAGTAGTTTGATTTATTTTCGACCACTTGCATACTTATGACTGATGGATTGTTTCTTAATGGGCCAGTTGTGCCATTCATCTACAATCTGAGCCTAGAGAATGAAACTCCACGATAGTTATCCACCTGAGCTCTAAATCTTCTCCACCATCTCAAATTTCATTAATACTTTTATTTCAATATTCATTCCTACTATTGACTGTAGCTCTTTCCAAATGTTTTTCATGTGTACACCGCTAATTGGAAGTTTGTTTATATTGAACAGCTAGTCTAATTTTGACCTTTAATTTCGTAATCCATAAATACTCCAATCCAAAAGCCATATACCATAATAGGGTTCATACTTGATGTTGTAATTCGATTCAAACTGCATTATTTGATTGTGCTTTCGATGGTGTGATCCCCGACCGTTGTTGCTACCTTGACGTGGTGGTCGTGCTTGCCTATCGTGATGAACCAATCGAGCTATACTGGCTGGAACAACCGTCCTACCATGCCAGACAGGTCGGTTGAAGAGCGGTAAGACTAAAAACAACAAATGCAAGGTCCGAAGGCGAAGTCATACTGCTGACTGTACAGAGGTGTAGCAGCAGTATGGTGTTTCCTTCAGGCAACAAGCATAACGGCGATGCTGCCTTCCCACAAGGATGGGTGTGGGTAGGAAATGTCAACCCGAAAAATGCACACTTCGCCTTATTCCACGGATATCCGTCTCCGGTGGTAAGTTCTCAACAAGTACGGAGCTAACACGAAAATTACTCACAAAAAGGTCGTGTGTAACCGACCTCAAGCAGCTGTACCTTGGGCATTACGGTTACGCTTTCCGGGAAGGGATAACTGCCCTCATGCCTCCAACAGAACTCAAGACCACTGTATTCATAATCAACCTCCCGATGGTGTGACCGAGACTTGGACATCAAACAACAACTCCAAGTCTTTTAACTTCGGTTTCGCTAGAATTCCCATATAACATGGAGATTGAAGTTAAATGCCCAACTAGATTTAATATATTAAAATTATCAAATCCCTTGCTATTAATTTTAACACTAATAATACTATTATATTATTAAACGTATATAAGCTTAATTTTTGTGTGGCTGACAATAAAGTACTAATTGATTAGAGAATAAGTGATCTACGAGATAACTTCCTTCAACTATGTATGAAATTTTACCATGTTTATTTTATGTTGGTAATTTTATATCAACATATCATCCCACTGTACAGAGAAAGTTAACCTTACTACAAACGATCTTGTCTTTGATCTCAAATCATTCATAATTGAAGATAAGTGTTTGCTACTGTTCTTTCATTTGACCACAGATGCTTCGCATCTGTTGAGATCACCGGGTAATTAGTAGTGAGGTTAGACGAAGAGTATTAGGTAATGATGGTAAATTAGTTGATGAAGTTGTAAATCTTCATCGATCGAAATGGTTAGGCCACGTGCTGCGTATACCTGAATACCGATTACCACGACATGCAATGCTGACTAGTATTGGGGATGGTCGGAATAAAGTTAGTGGCGGCCAAACCAAAACGTCACATCAGTCCTTGAAGTTACTAACTTCTAGTCTGAGCAGTGTTGGTAGATGCAGACTACCTGTTTGGGGTCCGCGTGACTATCGTAACCAATGGTTGGAGACTGTGGGTGACATGGTTCAGAATCGATCACAATGGTGTAGGTGTATACCCTCTCTGTGTTCCTTTAAACTTCGAATCAATTCTTTCTTCCTGTACTATGTCTTTATACACTATCTTTCTTTTATATATTACCACCACTGAATTAACCACTTTATGAATCCGGTGTTCGTCATGTTGTGCTAATGGGGTGTGGCAACTTGTATCGATGTATATATGTGCATGGTCCTACGTTGTAGCTGATCAACTTTCATTTTCGAATATATTTCTTGCCAGGAATAATTATTTCATTGTTTCTTTCTTATGTTATCCCTAATAACTAATTGCCGAGTAAATCTTAATCAGTACTGTGAAGTTGGTTAAGGACTATGATAAATTTGAAGTGTTATTGATATTGAAAAAAGACAGCATTAGCTATATCCATTTTGTTTGTGGATGGAATGAGATTACACAAATTAGGGTAACTGCATTATAAGTTAGAAACTTTGAGTTCAATCACAAATGTAATTGTTGGGGAAATCCAAATTATTCGTCGAAGAATTACACAGGAGTCCTGAAAACTCTTGGAAACATTTTATCTAATCAATATTGAGTAGACATTTCTCAGAAACATGTAGCAGGTGAAAAGTCATATGTCATATTTCTGATTGAATGATTACTTATTCAGCTATTATATTTAGTATGGTTCCATAAACTCGCAGAATCTCGAGGCCTTTTGAAATGCTATAAATACCTTCGATTTTCTGTACATAAAGTAAATTTTGTGTAAAGCGATCTTTTAACACTTTACGCTTTCTTCTTGTGTTCATGTTGTACAGATATAGCCTAGGGTTAGTAGAAGAGCATAAGAAACCGATTTACACATTCAGTCAGAAGATTTACCTGTAAATGCTTTTGAAAAATATTACTTTATATGATCAATCACAGTACTTTCAAAATCCAAGATATTACCTCCATGTAACATAATACTTAATAATTTGATAGTTGAATTAATGAGTCAATTGAAACTGGCTCACCATAGTAAACCTGGAAACACTGGATTGCCGTTTCGTCCCATTACAGGACTTCTCTCAGCAATGCTCATCTTCGATTCTGCCTCACGCTTAACCACTAGACCACTGAGCAAACAAATAACGGTATTCATGTCTAACTTCAACTAATCCACGAAATTGCGCCATTGTTTACCATCAGTCAGTCAGCTGCAACGTAGGACCAGGCACGTATATGCATCGGTCCAAGTTGCCATACCGCATTAGCATAACACGATGAACACCGAATTCATAGAAGTAGTTAATTCAGTGGTGGTAATATATAGAAGAAAGATTGTGTATAAGGTGATGGTACAGGAAGAAAGAATTAGTTCGTAGAAAGAAAGATATGAAGTGATTTTACTCTCTTAGTTTGAGGGAAGACAGGGATTGCATACACCGACGCTATTGTGATCGATTCTGAGTCATGCCACCAAGAGTCTCTAACCATTGGTTACGATAGTCACGCGGACCCCAACCAGGTAGTCTGCATCTACCAACATGGCTCAGACCAGAAGTTAGTGACTTCTATGACTGATGCGACGTTTTGGTTTGGCTGCTTATAACTTTCTTCCAATCATCCCTAACACTGGTTAGCATTGCGCGTCGTGGTAATCGGTATTCAGGTGTACGCAACACGTGACCCAACCATTTCAGTCTATGAAGATTCACGACCTCATCAACTGATTTATCATCATTCCCTAATACCCTTTGTCTAACCTCACTATTATTTACCTGGTGATCCCAGCAGATGCGAGCAATATTTCTAAGGCACCTGTGGTCAAATACTAGTAACTTACGAATATCTTCTACTCTTAAAGGCCATGTTTCGCAGCCTTATAGTAGAACGGAACGAACTGCCGCACAGTATACTCGTCCCTTAATTGATAGACGGATATCTCGCCTTCGCCATAGAACGTCAAAGAACACATTACGTCGCGAAATAGAATCAGGTATGAAAAGGACGAATAACATGTGGAAAGAGCTGGAAAGGATTGTCCAGGACAGGGTAGGATGAAGAATGCTGGTGAGCGGCCTAAGCTCTTTCAGGAGGAGTAACAGGCATAAGTAAGTAAGTAAGATGATTCGAGTACATGCATTCTGTTGTGATGTGGGTTACTTATATCCAGTGTCCCACCTGATGATATTCGAAACCAAGACCTATCAGTTTCGCTCGCGCGAACACTCAAACTCTAAACCACTGAGACGATGGTGTTGATTTCTAATTCTAACCAATCCACGAATTTGTGCCACTATCTATCATTGTCATCAGTAAGTTAGTGATAGGTTTCGTGTTCGAATCTTGAGAGATCATAGATGCACACTTTTGAGGAATCCTATACTAGGACAAAATAGCTGTCTAATGCTTCCAGTCAGATATTTATTTATTTTAACACATAGATATTGGTACAAGGAGGCACCACACAAAACTCAATTGATATGTGTGGGAGCTGTGATACTGCTCGGGTGCCCAAACCGAAGCAGGTGGTTTTCTTAGGGTGACCACACCTCGAGCCTTCGACCTGACTGTCTGACCCACAAGGCAGTGGAGCATCGTAAGGAAATGCAGTCCCATGATAGCCGGCGACCAAAGATTGGTTCATACGCCATTTGTTCCTTCAGGATACTGAAGCCAGCCCATGTGCACCATTGGTTTGGGATCCAATTAAAGCGCCAGACATTCGCTTTTCTTCCTCTCATTATCGTAAACAACAGTAATGCCACGAGAAGGCAGTGAGTAGGACTTCCCTGGCAGAGGCTATATACGCGTGGCCATGTGAGAGCGTTTCGAGAGGGAGAGTGGATTCTCCCCACTCTGGGCCGTACCAGGGCATTTGGGGGCCTAATGCTTCCAGGATTATCATGATTACTACAATCATCACAAAACCCCTGTTGTAATGTTAGATATGAAAAAATACTAAATTCAAATTATATATACATTCATTGAACTCTACAATAGATTATATACATTGAAGCCAAATGTTAAACGTTTCACAATGAGATTTTTCATCACATCATTGTATATATATATAATAAAGGATTACACTCAAAGTAAAGCAAATCTTATGTACTCAATCCTTGTTTGTTGAATTGAACTTTCTCTTAGAAAAAATTTAAAAAAAAAAGAAGTAAACTACTTTTTCAGTAATGATTGGTATCTGAGACATTTGTAATTTTAATTGATCATTCTATGTGCACCTAAAATAGAAATAATACAAAAAATGGAGAATAGAAAGAAGATTTTTTAAACACCCCCACCCCCACCCCTCACACACACACACCCACCCACCCACACTTAAAATTAATCAATAAATGAAGTTTCATTTACTACAATTACATAATTATCATTCTTCATTATTTAGTTAAATAAAAGATGATAAAAGAGGGTTTATAGTTACTCATTTGATTAATAATTGTGAAATAAATTGTAACTAACCGAAATATATTCAATCAAATATATGGTGTTTATGGTTTAGGATGAAGTTTTGTTCTCTTTTAACTGGATGATTTAGTCGTGAAACTTTTATTGTTTTAATCTTTTGTATATTAACGAATCAATATGTATCTATGTTTACAAATCAAACTACTGTGTTTGAAAAATAAACATTTGTGCTAATCGTTCATCTACTATTATTATTGATATTGAAGTGTTGGTTACTATGTTAAGTCTATATAACTTATTACAGCTTCTGGACAGGTCAATTTATTCATTCTTCACCTTGTTAATTATCCACTTATCAACCTTGACTGTTTCTGTATAAGCGTATGTGTGTACACTTTTTATCCTACTCAACGTATGTCTGTAGCTTATTTTTGTGTGACTATAAATATTGATTAAATGGAGTTATAGTTTACATGACTTCTGTACTGCGAGTCATTTCGCTCTGCTCTTTCCTCTTTGCTTCTCCGATTTTTTTTTTTTTTGTGTGTGGATCAACGATTGTATAAAATATACAATCAATATAACAACTAATCATATGATATTACTAGAGTCAGATAAAGGGTCACAAAAATTGGTGAGCCTATCGATAATATCGTCCGATATAAATGATGTCTAAATAAAGGGCTTCACAATGTAGACTAATGCAGAGTGGATTAAAGTTGAACTTATGTTGTTTTTTTCTTTTTAGTTCTAATTCTCTTTATGTTCTTGTTATTATTGGTACATAATTTTAATATTTGTTAGTTTGCTCTTAGTAAACAATGGGTTCGATTCCCCGGAGTGAACATTAACTCTGAAATGCAGGTTCATCCAGCTGACGAGTCCGAATTAGGACCAAACGCGCGTTTTAGATTCTACTACTAGTTATCATCCATCTTTACGTATAAAGCTTGTGACCTAAGGCAATATTTATTTATTTTTATTTATTAGAACACATAGATATTGATACAAGGAGGCACCAAATAGATATGCGCCACATAAATCATTTGACCTGTGTGAGGGCTGGGATGCTGCCCAGGTTCCAAAACCGAAGCAGTTGGTTTACTTAGGGGACCACACCCGGAGACTTTGACATAAAGGTCACGTATATACAACCACTACCAGGGAAGTTTCACTCATTGCCTTCTCGTGGTGGGGATGTTGTTTACGAAATTGAGAAGATGAAAAGCAAATGTCCGGCGCTTTCCCGGGTTGGTGGATATGTGAGATTCACCTAGGGAAGTTGAAAAACCCGACGGTGCATTTGGGCTCTAGGATCCTGAGGGAACAAATGGTGTATGAACCAATTGTCGGTCACCGGCTACGTTGTTCCACTGTCTTGTGGATTAGACCTTAAAGTCAAAGGTTTCGGGTGTGGCCCTCTAAGGAACTCACCTGCTTCATCTGAGCAGCCGGGCAGTATCACAGCCCACATACAAATCAAGTGACTTATGTACATCTTTGTAGCAATATTTATGTGTCCAAGTAAAATAAATAAGTAACGTAGATGAATATGATTAAGTCTAAGTCATGTTTTATGAAATTTAACTACATAATTTAAATTATTCAGTATTCTATTAACAATCATCTGGGAAATTGTAATAGCACTATTTGATACAGCCATTATTATAGACGAACCAATCAAGAAGCGTTTGATGGATTTGAAGTTCACGGTGCCAATTTCACTACTTGATGATCACGTACGATCGGTTCACACTGAGTTCTAGAGAAAACGTTATAATTGAGCGGCTACAACAAATAAGACTGATAAGAACTTCCTTTATTTTTGATTGCGATAATCAAATGACTTGTAGATTTTGTGCAAACCATCCTAATGATGTTGTTTTTCGATGTAATGTGTGTTGGAAGAAGAAGTCTGCTAGAATAGGACTTTTTTCGCTCGATGTAGATTGAGACTATGGCAAGCTATGACTGGATAAACTAAACTGTATAAAAAGCACCAGTAACATTGGTTACAGTCAGGTACTACAAAATATACAGATAATTGAAGAGCATACAGATGCTTATATAGACTTGATTATGTTCATCGTGTCGTTATCCATAAGCGGTATTTTATAGACCCAACAACCGGATTGCACACAAACAATATTGAAGCTATATGGTCGAGGCTGAAAAGGTTTACGCCACCTTATCATAGCTCCAAAGGCCGACTACAATGAAGCCATATGGATGATTTCCTCTACTGCATAAATTAAGATTTTAGAATCTCTGAACCTCTTTCTAACCTTGACAAGTTTTTGAACCATGTAATAGAAGTGTGTCGACTTAAGTTCTCTGGTCTTGTATAATCTATTTTTACTCTATAATAACTGTTTTCTGATTGGATAATATTTCTCAAGGTCACTATAGAGTAGTTCAAAAACCGCCCATATATTATAGTCTCTTCGAAATACCTTTCAGCTCAGAGAACAAAACTTCCTTAAAATCATTCATTTGAATTAAAAATCTTCTCCACCATCTCAGAAATACCTTGATATTTATATACATAATTGATCCGATTATTCGAAAGTAATAGTGTGGTGTGTACTACTTATGTAGACAAAAGTAGTATATGACGCGAGTTTTAAACTTAATGTCTGGCAGCAGAAGATGGGGAAAGATCAGGAAAGTTAGAGCGAGAACACAATGGAATTTGTATGGAAACTTATAAACAATGAAAGGACAGACAATCGATTGATGTTTGCAACAGGGACAGTCAAGTTTGATATGATAGATTGTTATTTTGCAAATTAATACATTCACTATATGGTTGTTAGTTTTTAATAAGTAGTTCTGTAAATTGTTATCTAATACATTCGATTGTCCCCATTGGTGTTCTGTTCATTACAATAGTACACATATTTATAAGATTCTTATAGATTAACTTACGTCTTCTAAATATAAATAATGGGAAAGCAATGCATAAAACTGTAGCTATCAATAGAAATGGTAATAAAAGTGAAATAGTGAAACGACGCATCACTAAATCAACATCAACATTTTGACCAGCTTGTAATAATTGTTGTTCATAACTGATGAATGAAAATGTATTTGGTAATAATAGATTGTTTGTAGTTTGTTCGATTATTATCTCTGTAGAATATGTACTTTGATTGTTAAAGACTTCCACACTCTTATTGATTGGTTTATTCGAATTCATATCAGATGGTTCAGTATAGTTCTAACAAAAGGAACAAAATAATGATTGATTACTACTATTATTATTATTATTGTTAGTATTAGTATTATTACTATTAGACTTACTAAGTTAGTAAACATCTTAATTTATGATATGAATGAGTAGTTATGTCTTGCTGACGCGTGCCAAGTAGCATAAAACTCGGGTCCAGGGTTTCCTGTCGATTATCTCCAACCACCATCTATTTATGTCTTAATATATTAGGCCAACTTTTTCGATTACTGATAGGCTCTGGGTTTGAATCCCGCAAGGCGGGGTCGTGGATGTGCTTCCAAGTTTTTTATGATGCTCTAGCTTCAATTGATTCATGATTTCAACTATTGAAATTACTACAATCTCTACAAAACCCTTTCTGATATTGACTATTTAATCTATAAAAAATTCCATCCTATTTTATGTACTTGAATACATTGATTTACAATCTTCAAACATATTGGTAAATGTTAATTTGATTTTAATACGTGAGTACTATGATAACATACAGTGAACTTATTGTTTTCACATATTTTGCAATACATTAATCAAAAATAGTTATTATCGTATATTAATTAGACTATCTAGATATGAATAGACATTCAATAGAGATTTCGAATACTGAAGTTTTGATTGTGATTTTTTTAATTTCTTTATTTCAAATTACTCAGTTCATCGTGGTTTGAAGGAAATACCAAATCTTACAAGTGATCAGATTTCAGCTTAAAGTTTAGTTAATGATGTATTTAAATAATCATTCATATTTACTATGATATTTTTAGAGATAACTTTCGAATCTTGTTTTGATTAAGTAAATATGATACAATTTAATTCAATAACAATGGAAAGCATCATGTACTACTGTTAAAGTGTTTAGGAGTAGATTGAGAGAAAGTTAGAAGCGGTCAAACTAAAACATGACACAAATTTATGAAGTCACAGTCAATTGGATTGAGTGAGCCATATTGGTAGGTGTAGACTACTTGGTTAAGTTCCGTGATATGATAGCAACCGATTGTTACTGATCTTGAATGACATGGCTCAAAAACGTTTGCAATGACGCAGGTGCATCCATTCTTTGTGTACTCCCAAATTCTAATCTCCTAAATTCTTCATGTCCCTTTCCTTTTTCTTTTTTCAAATTTGTTTCACTGGATTATAATCCTTGAATAACATCTTAAAACCCTAATCTTTCCGATTACTGCTTATACCTTTACTACCTCTACCACTGTGAGATTTGAATCGACAACTGCATGTGTGTGCTAATGTGGTATGTTAACTTGAATTGACGTATGTACGCACGAGGTTCTACGTTGTCGCTTACTGACTGACTGTTAAATTGTCATCTGCAACTGTTATAAGAACATTCATCTTTGTTGAGTTAGTCACTAAAATAAGACATTGGATTGACTAATCTCTTTCATAACTGTTATACTACAAATGATGTCTTCGGTTTGTTGTAGAATAATTAAGTAGTTGATAGCTTAATTAGATATATGATCTGAAATATGACAATTTTCAAGGTAAATTCACTTGATGTTGTTTTACTTATATCTTTCCATTGTTATTTAAGACTGCAATTGTTCAGTCTCAATGTTGGCATATGTGCATCTTATACGGATTGCCTTGATATAGCCTTAAGTCACAAGCTTTTTAAGCAAAGATGGATAATGGCTAGCAGTGGATAACACGATAGCTTTTGAAACAAACTGTACTGGGTTTGAGTACCCAAATAGGATGAAACGCGCATTCTGGATTCCACTGCTAGCCATTATCCAACTTTGCTTAAATTATTAAAGATACTTTAATAAAATCATAAGTTGCTTACTGTTACATTACAGCCAATCATTGGACACTTCGTATTTTGAATATCTTGACAAACAATATCACTCATGATGTTAATTGAGTTATTCTTATTGTCATGCACTATGTTTTCAGGGATTTTTTCAATATAATCTGTTTCATTACAGACTTTATTCATAAAAGAAAATATTATAGTTTCATTATGATACTGATACATTCATGATGAAGTATTAACCAGAAAGAAAAGTTATGAATATGAATGGATTTTGTAAGCTATTATGGTATTAAATAGATTTCCATCAGTTGAAGATTAAAACAGTTATTGATGTTTATTGAATTGCTTCTTTTTGTATATCCCAATGGTTAGGGTCCGATACTAGGACGAAACACCCGTTCAATACTTTCAAGTTTCCTATGGTGTTATTTATGAATGACAACTACATGACTAGAATATGTTTTCACATTCAACTATAACTATTAACAAATTTCTAGACATTAATATATTTACCACATTAAGTCAAGCTCGCTACTTATTAGAGATCCTCATTCTGAGATCTATCATCTCTTATAACATACAAGTTGACATACTGAGGAATGACGGGGGCATGATGAGCTGAAGAATGTGGCGAAAATGAAAAAAAAGTGGAATAACAAAACATATGACTATTTTTACTTCCGAGGACTTTTGACAAGTATTCAGAAGGTAATGTGTTTTTAAAATAAAGCTTCTTATCGCAACATTTTGGATATTCACTGGAAACAATGGTACAGTGACGGTTGGAGATGGAGATAAATCATGATATTCATTACTATATTTTGATGGAGTTTTGTTCTCTGAACTAGATGGTTTGATCGTGAAGCTTTCATCGTTCTTCTGAACGACATCCTCAGTACAATCGTCAGGTAGAAATCTTCTCCACCATCTCAAAATCATATGAACGTAGTAAGCTTCTTATTGTTCGAAAATGGGAAAATTTCACCAAAAGTCAGACTTCCACTCGAGAACAACTGTATTTTCTCTACAAATATCTTCGTCAGCATGTTCTAACAAAAAGTGTAGGATATAGAGCTTCAATCAACTGCCCATTGAGATGGAGAATAGCTGGGCAAAGTGAAAGAAAAACGGTACACCTAATGATAACGGATTCACATTATAGGATCCGCAAATACCAACACGTCATAGAGGACCAAAAGATGAAGCTACAAAGGACACTCACGTCAAAACACTTGGAAATATTAATTACTATAAGATAAAATCCAACCTAATCATTTACTTTGACAATCGTTATAGCACCAAAATAAGAAATCAACGTCATTAGTGATGTGAATATTTACTTTATGTAAATCATAAATTTGATGGATAATGTTTAATGTTGAAGTTAGACATTAACACCGTGGGATGCCGGCTCAATGGTCTAGTGGTTAAGTGCTCGCGCGCGAAACCAGTAGGACCTGGGTTGGAATCTCGCAGGGAGCAAGGTCGTGGATTCGCGCTGCTGAGGAGTCCCAAAATAAGACGAAACGGCCGTCCAGTGCTTCTAGGTTTCCCATGGTGGTCTAGTTTCACTTGATTCATGATCTTAACCATTGAAATTACTACAATCTCCACAAAACCCCTTCTGATATCAATTCTAAATTCTCAGCAATGGGATTGTGTAGATTGTTGAGTTATTGATTAAGATCATGAATCGATCGTAGATTGGTTGATGTTAAACATTAACACCACTGAATGTCGGCTTAGTGGTCTAGAAGTTAAGTGTTCGTCCGTGAGACAAAACGTCCTGGGTTCAAATCCCTCATGTGTGATCATGGGTATGCACTGATGAAGAGTCTCATACTAGGACGAAACACCCATCCATTACTTCTAGTTTTCCTATAATGTTCTAGGATTGATCAATTCACGATCTCAATGAACAACTCTAAATTTTCATACATGTGTAGTGACCTACTTTTGTCAATAGAACGCGATTGGTTCGCTGAAAACAATTATTATTATAACCAATTGTACCAGTGACTGTTTTACTGTGCTCGTTTGTTTAACTATGCTAATGACAGCCATTACACTTATCTCTCCAGTTGACTTTGAACTTGTACGAATTCGGTTACGTTTAGTAACCACTCTTGTACTCCTTTCGCACGATCTCGGTATTTTTTCGATACCACGAGATCGCCAACAAATACATCTCGACTACAGCCATCATCTGCCTTCTGACATTGGCCTACGGGGATCTCATTGGTTAATTGGCAAGTAGTTTTCTTGTAGCGGTGTTCATAATCAAGCGCGATTCAACACCACGCTACACATGAAATCTTTAATCTCCGCAAGGAATCCATTATAGATTAAGATTTTCTGTTGTTAATTGTACATAAGATATAGTACCATGTTTAGCCTTTATAAAAAAATTTCAAATTGATACTATACATTGATGCATTACATATTGAAAAAAAAACTATGAAAACTTCATGAATTTGAAATGGTGGAGAAGATTTGTAGCTCAGGGGGGGATGATTTTGATGAAGTTTTATTCTCTGATTTGAGTGGTTTGGTCATAAAGCTTTCATTGTTCTTCACATAGAAGATAGACTTCTATCTGAAGTTAATGCTGATGATGTCGTTCAGTAGAACAATGAAAGCTTCACAACCAAATCATCCAGTTCAGAGAATAAAACTTCATCAAAAACATTTTATAAATACAATTTATGAACTGATATTAGAAATCAATAAAGTTTCAATAATAATCAAACTTTTAAAATTATTTTCTTACATGTAAGTGGACTGTATTCAATCAAAGTACCAGATTTTATAACAGTTGATGGAATCTTTATAATAGTGAAATATTCCCCATTAGCTTCATAATATACTTGAATAAACAAAAGATAATAGAGTAATTAGAATTAATAAGTGAATTAACAATTCTCATACTATTACCAAAAAAAGTCGATTGAAAAGTGATAAGAATAAATGAAGTAAATTCATAATCTGAGAATGAAATACTACCTTACTGGTTTTTGATGGTACCATGTTAGTCCACATAATGGATCAATATCTTCGGTGATAATACTTTACGCAACGTTTAGAGAAAACCTGATCTTAAGAGTAGAATATGTCATATAACTCATGGATTTCTATAGATAACTGAATAGAGTGATGCAAGTTTTTAATCATCTTTTTCTTTACTGAACGTCTAGTAAATGAATTGCTAATAAAATACTTTTAGAGGGGGTTTTGTGGATATTATAGTAATTTCTATAGTTGAGATCATGAGTCAACCGAAGCTAGACCACAATGGAAAACCTGGAAACACTGGACGGCTGTTTCGTTCTACTGTTGATGTGAACCGGGAAACAAGAAGCCCTGACAAACTACGAAGGCTATTTTTCGGAACGTTATTTCATTTTTTATTCAAAGCTTGTAAAACACTGGCATTTATCTTTGTCCCTAATCTATTCTACAGAACATAAGCTTTCGTTCGATGTATCATTCACTGCCATACCTTTTTCTGTTCCGAAGCTATTGTAATTTAAACATATTATTTTGCACCCTATTTTCTATTGTAATTCCCAGCTTTGGACATAATTGTATTTTTCCTAATTATTGTACGTTGCGGTCGGGTTATTCACTTATTTATTCATGTACCTTTTCACACTAATCTGAATTCAGTAAATCCAGTGAGTTCAGTGGTCAGGGAAATAGATCGAGTAGTGTTCCAGTTGTCTTGTCTTCTCTCATTCGTGTGCTTGCCCACCAATCAGGTGACAGAATAGTTTTCTTCTCTCTACCCCATATCGAACTCACGCGTACTAGTCTCAAGGTTAAGCTGATCAGCCTATCGCATCAAGGTCGAAATCTAGATTAGACAAGTATCCTCGGCACCAAAAAGTGGGTAGACAAACCAAGGTCATAACAACTGTGAGACTCCTAAGTAAAGCGCATCCACGATCCTGCCTCACGAGATTCGAACCCAGGACCTATCAGTCTCGTACGCGAGCGCCTAACTACTAAACCACTGAGCCAACATCCAATGGTGTTAATGTCTAACTTCAACTAATCCACGAAATTACGCCGCCGATACAACTGTCCACTGCTTCCAGGTTTTCCATAGTGATCTAGCTTAGATTGACTCATGATCTAAACTATTAAAATAAACTACTTAAACATTCCGATGCCTAGTCATACCATCATTAGAACAGATAAATGATAAATTGAATGTGAACAAGATAAACTCAAGCTGAAGGACTACATATTTGAACAATGATATATTGATAAAAGTTGATATACCTTCGTTATTTATTTCTGTAAATTTACCAGCTCGAAGCATTAAACCGTCCACCTTGTTTTCAAGTACATTAGGAATCTATAAAGCAGTGAGATTTTAGTTTTAACATTTGTCATTTGAAAGGAAAATACATAGTTGAAAAATTGTTACCGAAACTTGAATTAAGCAAAATATATACCGTATGTGATAAAGGTTAATATTTCTAATCTTTAGCAACTTGAAACATGGTAAAGAGTCTGGATTCCTTACCCTATGTTCTTCTATTTGTTATATATATATATATATATATATATATATATATATATATATATATATATATATATATATATATATATGTTTACGAATTGATTAATAAAACACTGTAGGGACAGTGAAATATCACTGAGCCTTAGAAAAATCATCTGGCAGTTGGACCACTGAATATCGAACAGATCATCGATCCTCGTCAAGGTCAAGAACAACCATCAGTTAATCGTATGCCATGGACTGGCCCATGAGGTGGTAGTCTTACTTTCGCTTGTATCTACTTTAACGAATATATTTCTGTAATAAAGTCCTTTGTGTTATACGGTCTTCAAAGCAGCCAGAGTATTTTGATACGTCGAAAGGGTAATCCACGTTAGATGCTAACCGCAAGGGGTGATTTCAAAGTTAGCTGGTTCGTCATACCATTCCCGTCTAACACGAGTAGTCCTCTAATCATTCGACATAGATCATCTAAGTTGATGATCTACAACACTAAACTATCGATTAGTTTATCCATGTAATTTAATTAAAATATATTCTGTCCCTTACTAAAATGTTCGATCTTCCGATTTCTCAGAGTTGTTTGCAGGCATTAAGTAGTTTACTTATAATTTGTAGTCACAAATAAATCACAAACATATCATTTGATTTATTTACCTGGGTAAGTGCTTTACTGTATAAAATCCGATTCTATGAATGATACACAAGCTTCCTATATATGTGAGCACAACCAGCTACCCCAGTAAGGAAGAAACTTTATGGACTAAAGATGAATTGAGGGATATATATTTGTATGTAAGATTTACCTTGGAAACAGAATCAGACAACAAACTCATACTTAGATGTATTCATCATCAGGACCACCATAGGAAAACCTAAGACTTAAGTTTATCAGAAACTAACATTGATTAAATACTCGAATACAATAGCAACAACCAAATGACCCACAAATTAAGTTGTGTGTAAACTTGGTTCAGAAGAGGGAAAAGTATTACCGAACCTTCATTGTACGGATAACCAGAAGGAAGCACCTGATGGATGTATTTCGAAAAGATCTATCCTATAAAACTTTATCAAGAAATGTCCATCAAACCGACCACCAGACACAAATTAATTACGAAATTAACAGAAGAGGTGATTCTACCTGATATCAAAAACGTTCCTGAGACCCCAAACGGATTATTAATACCTGGAGCTCCTCCAGGGCTACTGCTGGTCCCAAGCCCGGGTAAAGGAGGAGCGCTTAGCATGAAGTTAGCGACTTCATCCTGTAGAAAACTAACTGGCTAAAAAATGCTAACCACAAAAAAAAATAATTTAAACTCTGCCTTGGGATTTAGAAGGCCTTTATTTAAAAGAGGTACGACGCCTCATGGTGAAAGCCGAGTTCCTTCGGAAGTCATCAGGCTGATACCTTCCTGACAACCAGAGCAACCATTGATTTAGCTACATGGAATGCTCGTACAATGTGGGAGACCGGGAAAGTCATCCGAATTGCTGCGGAAATGAAAAAATACAACCTGAAGGTGCTTGAAATCAGCGAAACACATTGGACGCAGGCTGGACAACAAAGACTAGGTGTAGCGCACAAACGCAAAAAATTTTTATAATCAATACCATCCAGTTCAAAAGACACAATAACAAACAGCGACAAATCAAACTCATCCACGAGCTTAATTGTAGCGACTGTGAGAAACACTAGGTAAGATGAAGTGGCTGTCTACTCCGTCCATGCCCACATGTCACGAAATAACTTCCCCCCCTCCACTTCATTGCATGCCAACAACTTTTGAAATTATTTCGATTAAAAAAGAGTCAAAATGGTAAATAGAGAAAATACGAATAAGGCTTGAAAATTCTTAGAAATGTGGTACTATGGTAAAGCATCAATCAATAGATATATGGAAATTGACCGGTTCTATCAACCAATAAAGTAAACGATTAACAACCTCAAAGTCAAAGATAAAGATAATTAAAACAAAAATGGCTCTATACAAAACAATGTACAACAATCAATGAAGTTCGAAATTAACAGAATAAACAACTAGTAATTTATGGGTATTATAGTAATTTTAATAGCTCCCGCGAGCAAGACTGATAGATCCTAGGTTCAAATCTTGTGAGGCGGAGTCGTCGATGCACACTGCTGAGGAGTCCTACAATAGGACGAAATAGCCATCCAGTGATTCCAAGTTTCCCAGGTTAGTTTAACTTTAACGATGATATACAACTAGTCTTTACAAGGATAAACAAGAATCCTGTTTAAATCTTTCATATAATTTATGTTTATAATACATAAATATTCGATAAATTGAAGTAAATTAAGTTAAGTATTTCCACTTTATTATTTAGCTTACCTTTTTATAATAGATTGATATGTTCCCATTGGCATATAAAACACAAACCACTTGAACTGAAGATTTGAGAATAGATTATTTAAAAAAAAAATCTTATCGAATATAAATGAATTGATCAATTTTTAAACGAAAAATGTTAGTCAAAATAAATGATTGTAATGATAGCAATGAAACCTAGGATACATGTTTCGTCTTAGTTGAGACTCATCAGTTGGATGTATCTGCTAATCATTATCTATCTTTATTTATAATATTATTTATTTATTTATTTTAACACATAAGTATAGGTACAGGGAGGCACCAAGTACATATGCGCCACACGAATCTCAATTGATTTGTGTGAGGGCTGTGATACTGCCCGGGTGCCCAAACCAAAGCAGGTGGTTTTCTTAGGGGGCCACACCCCGAGCCTTCGACCTGAACGTCTGACCCACAAGGCAGTGGAGCATCGTGAGGAGATGCAATGCCATGGTAGCCGGTGACCAACGATTGGTTCATACGCCATTTGTTCCTTCAGGATATTGGAGCCCATGTGCACCATTGGTTTGGGGTCCGGTTAAAGCGTCGGACATTCGCTTTTCGTCCTCTCATTTTTGTAAACAACACCCCCGCCACGTGAAGGCAGTGAGTAGGACTTCCCTGGCAGAGGCTATATACGCATGGCCATGTGAGAGCATTTGGAGAGGGAGAGCGGACTCTCCCCACTCTCGGCCGTACCAGGGCATTCGGGGGCTTGTAACTTAAGTCAATCTTATGACAATTCATATAGGATACATATATGATAATAAGAAACTGATCAATTGTAGTCTTAAACATCAATGAGAAGATTTAAACAAACAATACAAGCTAGTAACAAATATAGTAATGATATATTTGAACTTACCATGATCTTCAATATTTTTTTCATTGTTAGAATAAGACCATTGAATTGCCAAATATTCATCTATAAATTATGAATAAGTTAATGTATAATTGGATAATAAGATTAATTATAATCATCATTCATTTTGAATAAGATGATGATTATGATTTTAACAAAATATATGATCTTTTAATTGAGTCATTTATAAGTTGAACTTGTATGAACATAGAAAGTGATTAGAAATGGGTCTTTTTTTTTTCACTAATGAACTAAATGAGATCATGAATCGATTAATGTTAGATTATCATTAAAAACATGGAAGTAATGGACGATCGTTTCGTTCTATTGTGGGACTCCTCAGAAGTGCATATTCACGATCTCGCGCGCGAACGTCCAACCTCTAAATCACTAAGCCTGAGTTCACTAGTGTTAATGATTAACCTCAACCAATCCAAAAAATTCTGCGACCATCTTCCATTGTACTGAGGTAGATACCTGTCTCTGACTGACACAGATTAGCTCTACTGGTCACAAATTCTCATTGGAACTCTGAGAATTATGTCACCAAGCTACTCACTAGTGAGCACATGATAATTATGCATGTTACTATACAGAACATTATATGTATTTACAAAAATCAGTGGGATATGAAATGTAGTGAATTCAATTTATTGCATACTAGTTATTGTTCTTCCTTTAATAAATGACATTTTATCCGGTAATTATTACTTCTAGTACATTTATGCATTTTACTCACTTACGCTTGTTACTCGTCGTAGAGGAGTATAGAACACCCATCAGCACTATCCATTCAACATTGCCATGGACAATTCTTTCCAAGTGTTTCCAGTTTCTATTCATCCTTCTCATGTCTGCTTCCGATTCCCGACGTAATGTGTTTTTCGGCCTTCCTCTTTTCCGCTTCCTTTCACGATTCCAAGTTAACGTTTGGTTCGTGACGTAGTTTGATGATTTCCTCAATGTATGTCCTATCCACTTCTAACGTCTCTTCCTAATTTCCTCTTCAGATGGAAGTTGGTTTGTTCTCTCCCACACAAGGATGTTGCTGATAGTATTCAGTCAACGGATAATGAGTATCTTGTATAGGCAGTTGTATAGAAGTACTTATACTGTTTTGATGATGGTTGTGGTGGTTTTTCCCGTTTCTTCTCCGTAAAGTAGGACTGTGTTAACGTTTGTATTGAAGATTTTCACTTTGATATTGGTTGACAGACAGTTGTTTTGAATTCCATATGTCCTTCAAGTGTAGAAATATGGTGTTTGTTTTACCAATCCTTACATTTACGTCTTTATCCGATTTTCCTTGTTCATCGATGATGCTTTTCAGGTAGGTGAAAGATTCCACATCTTCCAGAGTTTCCCCATTAAATCTGATTGAATTGATATTAATCAGTTTTGTATTTACGAATCTTGCTTTTTCTTTTATGTATGTTGAGGCCTACTGATGCAGATGCTGCTACCACACTAGCTGTCTTCACTTGCATTTTTTCATGTGTATCCAATATAATTTCGACAAATCATTTAAACATATCACTTACATAGAAGTGAACAATCTAATATTAATAATAACATTATCAATCGTAATGAATATATCTTTTGTTACATGCCAATGAGTAGAAATATTGTATTACTGACGTTCCATGACTTAATGTAAACCACAAACAAAAGAAACCATTACCGCCAAGAACTACTCCTATTGATCTAAGGGTAGTTTATAATCCTTCAAACAAAATTCTTAACACTCATGAAATCACTTTAATAGAAAGAGCACTAAACTTTAATTGACATTGAAAACCTGTCAATATTCTAGAAGTCGTGACAATTCTAGAACCAGTACACCAAAAACTTCCAAACAAGCAATCACATATATTACGTCAAAAAAACATCCCACATATTGATAAGACAAATATCTCTCCCATCTAATGGAAAGCTTTGAGCTCATTGAAGAAAGATAGAACGATTGTCTTAAGCCTGAAATTCCTTCAAGGCTCATAATGGACATCAAAAATACTCTAAACTATGCTTTATCTAGATATCTAAGCAGCATACTGAAGTCACTTCAACACAGCCTAATCAATATGGTAAAGGATTTATGCGAATTCAAGTTGAAGTCCTCGAACTTACCCATCAACAAGAACAAAACAATAGTAAGCTATGATGTATCTTTATACACTAGCATTCCAATTTATATATGTCTAGACTTTGTTATTAGTTTACTAGAGAATGATAATACTCTATCTAGCAGATGTTCATTAAGCATTAGTTCAATCATGATTTCCCTCAAGCTATGCTTGAATTCAACACTTTTCACTTTTAATGGGACGAATGGAGTAACCATGGGATCTCTAGTATCTCTGATTGCTTCAAATTTAATTACGTCACATATTGAGTCGTTTATTTTTGCCAACACCATCAGATCAACAATCTGGCTCAAATATGTAGATGATACATTTATCATTCTTACATAGACTTCTTAGAAATTTCTTCAAACACGTAGAAACGCTCTCAGAACGCATTTAATCCATTCTTAAACTGTTTAATCGAAAGGAATTCTAATGAAAGTCTAGATCTAGCCATATACCGAAAACCGATACATTCCAATCGGTATATTGATTTTAACTCTGCACATTCATTTAATGAAAAAATTTCCCCAACCCTGAATCTTTTCTAGAGGAGTAACGAAGATCACTACTTCAGAAGAACACAAGCTAAAAGATAAAGATTATGTAATATCCTAAGGATATTATTAAAAACTATCCGTCTTTAAGTAACGATCCTATTGAAAGATCCTAAGTTGGTACTGTGGTTTTACCTTACTGCCAGGTTATGACAAAAGAATTCTAACGGATATTAAAAACGAATAAAACTAAAGCTCTCTATAAGACGTCTAATCCTCTAAGGAACGTTCACTTTCACACAAAATTGTGTTCACAGATTAGCTACTGTTGATTGTGATGCATTCTATATTAGAAAGTCTTCCCGTGAGATGTTGACTCGTGTCAAGGAACATGTAAGTTATACAAAAAGATCCTCTAATAATCCTGTAGAATTGGAAAATTTTACAAGTTAAATCATCAATAGTAGTACATCCTATTTTCAATCATCACCAAATTGATATTTGTAAAAAAAAAGGCTTTTCCAACTGTTAAGAGAGGCAAGTAACCGAAATGTTTCACACTGTGTTAAATCCCTCTATCCTCAATAGGAAAGAAAGATCTGAATATTCATTGAACCTGGACTGTTTTTCTCCAAACAACTATATATGATCTTATTTATTTTCCATACAAATATATACACTTAATTTGAATTGTACTATTTGATGTTACAAGTACTTGTATATTTCATGATCACATTCTAATCTATAAATTAATACAGTGATAGATTATAGAAAGTCACCTTGATCAAGAATATAACTTAACATTGACATATTTAAATACATTATGATTTATACTATTTAAACTTGTGTTCATTTATTGTTGATTATTTATCAACTCTGAAGAAGTAGCTTACATTAAGTTACGAAACGTTAGAAATACAATTTCCATACTCATTTGGATATAACAAAAAAATATATTTACCATTAACTTTTTTTACCTAATGGTCAATTTATTTAAAACTAATCAATCCAACCCTGGCAATGATTATCAATAGTACACTTTTAAATTTTATAATTACTAGGAGGTGAAAAATACATTATTGATCAGCCGTTTTATTCAATTATAGATGTGATCTAGAAAAAAAATTGTTTTTATACAAAACTGTAAGAATTTATTTGTGAAAGTTTTTGATTACTTATTGTGTGACTATCTAGGACACAATAATATACCAGCTGAAGCACTCAAGTCAGATATCGAAGGAACTACTAACATACTTCATCTTCTATTCAAGAAGATTTGGAAGGAGGAACAAGTGCCGATGAACTGGAAAGAAGGACATCTCATCAAAATTCCAAAGAAAGAAGATCTGAGCAAGTGTGAAAATTACAGAGGCATCACACTACTGTCAGTACCAGGAAAAGTCTTTCACAGAGTGTTGCTGAACAGGATGAAAGAAGCAGTAGACGCTCAACTTCGAGATCAACAAGCTGGATTCCGTAAGGATCGATCGTGCACAGACCAAATTGCGACACTACGGATCATCGTCGAACAATCAATTGAGTGGAACTCGTCACTCTACATCAACTTCATTTATTATGAGAAGGCATTTAACAGTGTAGATAGGAGAACGTTATGGAAGCCTTTTCGACACTACGGAGTTCCTGAGAAGATTGTCAACATTATCCGAAACTCATACGACCGACTACAGTGCAAAGTAGTGCATGGAGGACAGCTGACAGATACATTTCAAATAAGACAAGACTGTCTACTCTCTCCCTCCCTCTTTCTTCTGGTGGTTGACTGGGTTACGAAGACCTCGACATGTGAGGGAAAACACGGCATACAATGGACAGCTCAGAACCAATTACACGAGTAAATGCAGATGAAGACAGCCAGCGTAGTAGCAGTCTCTGCATCAGTAGGCCTTAACACACACAAGGGGAAAACCAAGGTCCTCAAATACAACATGGAGAACAGCAATCCAATCACTCTTGATGGCGAAACTCTGGAAGATGTGGAATCCTTCACATACCTGGGAAGCATCGTCGATGAACAAGGAGGTTCAGATGCAGATGTAAAAGTGAGGATTGGCAAAGCAAGGGCCAGATTCCTTCAATTAAAGAACATATGGAACTCAAAACAACATCCTCTCAACCAATATCAAAATCAGAATCTTCAATATGAACGTCAAGACACTCAGTTCTACTGTATGGAGCTAAAACTTGGAGAACTACAACAACCACCATCAAGAAGGTACAAGTATTTATGAATAGCTGTCTATGCAAGATACTCAACATCCACTGGCCGGATTCCATCGGCAACAGCCTTTTGTGGGAGAGAACCAACCGGCTTCCAGCTGAAGAGGAAATTAGGAAAAGACGATGGAGTTGGTTGATAGGACATACATTGAGGAAATCATCAAACTGCATTACGAGACAAGCTCTAACTTGGAATCGTGAAGGGAAGCGGAAAAGAGGATGGCCAAAGAACACATTACATCGGGAGATAGAATCAGATATGAAAAGGATGAATAAGAACCGGAAAGAGCTTGAAAGTATTGTCCAGGACGGGGTTGGATGGAGAATGCTGGTGAGCGGCCTATGCTCCTTCACCAGGAGTAACAGGCGTAAGTAAGTTAGTAAGTAAGTAAGTAAGTAAGTAAGTAAGTAAGTAAGTAAGTAAGTAAGTAAGTTAGTAAGTAAGTAAGTAAGTAAGTAAGTAAGTAAGTAAGTAAGTTAGTAAGTAAGTAAGTAAGTAAGTAAGTAAGTAAGTAAGTAATTGTGTGACTATCAGGATTAAATTTGATCAATCTTAGATGCATTGAAGTAAACTCCTGATATTATCTGTAATAGTGTCATTTTGGCTTGTGATTAGTAAAGTAGTTCAGGACATACTTTAAGTTCTAATTTAGGTTTATTAATGTTGATGATGTTGTTCAGTATAACGATAAAATTTACACGACCAGAGCATTCAACACAGAGAATAAAACTTCACTAAAATCATCCAATTGAGCCATAAATCTTCTCCATCATTTCAATGGTTATCAAGTTTTGAACCTTTCAAATTATAACTTAATATAATCAATAAAATTTTTATACTTACCATTGTTTATTGTTTTGATTGTACTTCCAATCGGTATTCCATTGAAAACTTTAATCATTTCTATCTGATACATATTCATCCAGTTACATCCTAGACGTATAATCAATTTAATAAATAACCAGTAATTGACAAATAGTAGTATATAAGTAGTATTTAAGAATTAGTAGTATTTAAGAATTTGGGAAGCAAACTTTTAAATATTCATGAAGAGGAATATCAGAGAACACATCACGCTGAGAAAATGAAGGCATACATGAGAAGAATGATTAACAATTAGATAGATCTACAAAAGGAAGCCCAAGGACGGAGTGGGTTAGAGAATGCTGGTCGGCAGCTTATGCACCATTAAGGGTTGTAGTGTCTGTTATTATGTTAACCCCATATACCTTATTCTAGCTTGAGAGATAGCCTATTCTATTCATTCTACTTGAGTCATATTTTGACCTTGTTAATCATTCGCTTATCAATCTTGACTGTTTTTATATGAGCCCTTAGATGTGAGTACACTTCTTATCCCATTACTCAGCACATGTCAGTAACTTACTTTTGTGTAACTATAAATATTGATTAACTCTTGGTTAGAAGGGGTGTTGGCTTACCCACCATCTCTACTGCGCATCGTTTTCCTTCGTTCTATTCCATTCGCTTCATATGCGGCCAGACCAAAACATGGCAGAAATCCATGAAGTCACTGACAAGTGGACTGAGTCATGTTGGTAGGTGTAGACTACCTGGTTGGGGACCGCGAGATGATAGCAACCGATGGTTAGAGACCTTGAATGACATGGCTCAAAATCGTTTGCAATGGCGCAGATGCATCCACTCTTTGTGTTCTCTCAAACTCTAATCTTCTGAATTCTTCATGTCCTTTATTTTCTTTCCCAATTTATTCCACTGGACTATACTCCTTTAATAACATCATCAAACCTTAATGTCCCCTATCTCTACTTATACTTTCAGTACGTCTACCACTATGGGATTTGAGTCGATAACTGAATCTCTGTGCTACTGTGGTATGGCAACTCGAACTGATGTACGTACGTACGAAGTTCCACGTTGTTACTGACTGACTGATTCGCTTCATATACAAAATATATGTATTCAAAAGTCCATTCTCGTTATTTGACTTTATTTAATTCCGTTATTGGCTAACGCGATTTAAGTCAATGATTATATACGAGGATAGGCGACATATACAATCCAATAACAACCATTCATGAGATCTATTTGGAGTCAGATCCAAGTGACGACAAAATAACGGGCCCCACATTGGTAACAGGTGTAAATAAATAAGTAGACTATATGTATATTCATATTCCTTTTGTCATCAACTCTCATTTGACTTATTGACTACTGTTGTATGATTTACCATTCTTAATTTATTACCAATCTATAAGTTACAGTCTTCCATACTCACAGCAATTTATGGTTCGATTTTGTATAACTGTTATTTTTTATTTTATGTGATGCGGTTTGGTCTGCTTGTATGTAAATTACGTATACCTGAAATATGTTATTCATACAGTGGACGAAGATATTGTGTTCTAAACTCAACGAGAAGGGCTTGGCAACATGCTACTATATTAAGGACCAATAAGGATTCAGAGTTGAGTCAAAGCTATTGGTGCTGGTTAACGTGTCATTGGTTTAGCACAGGGACAAGGTCATGAAAGTCGATATTCTGATTGACGATTTTGTCACGTGACAATTGACAGTGGCATAAGTCATAATAAATACTATTCACATTTTGATTTTTATATTATATGGAATGTAAAGTTTGTTTGAGTTCTGTGAGTATCAGAATTCAGAAAGATTTGTCTTACAAGAAGAAACTAAACTTTTGGTCAAGGTTGTCTAACTTGAATTAGTTCATTGTCCCAATATAATTATCACTGAAACTTAGCTCGCTGAAATCAAATGATGAAATAACAAAAGAAGAAAAGGCGAACATTATCTGCAAAATACGTCGTTCCATCTGACTTGATAGTCTCTTCAGCTTTGTACGGGTGACCATAGACTAACTTTCAAATGCTACGATATATCATACATAATATCAGTGCACGCAAACAATTATGATCACATCTTCAACTGGGGAAATGTTTAAACCTTAGATGGAGTGAGCTTTAAGAAGATTGGAAAAATTTTTAAGCTTCACATTCAGGTCAATCAACTGTCAATAAGCAGGTCGATATCGACCACATCTATCAATTAATTAGAAACAACAATAAGATCAAACGTGATAACAATCAAAATAAATATGACTAGACATGCGTAAACAACAGCCAATCAATATTAAGTTCGGCAGAACAGACTGTCAGTCATATGTGGGGAAATTCGAATAGCTCACTACTATCTGAAATCGGCGCTGTTGATGTTGTTTAAAACCACAATGTAAGCTTCACGACAAAACAATTCAGATCAAGGAATGAGATTCCACCAAAAATCTCACTTCTCAATAGACGCACAACAGTCAGTAAATGATCTGAAAACAATTACTAACCAAATCTTCATAAATAAAAAAAAACAGATTTACTTCAATATGATTACGTACACACCTTACAAGAACATTTTGACAAAGAGTATAGGTATACCATATAATATACAAAATAAAGTATTGTCTATGAATTCGGTGTTCATCTTGTTGTGCTAATGAGTTATGGCAACTTGGGTCGATGCATATATGTGTCTGGTTCTACATTGTAGCTGACTGACTGATTGTCGCAAGGTTAAACGTATCAAGTTGCATTAATAATTAATATTAAGAACGATTTGCTGAAAATTAATTCGATATCAACTGTTGTATTCTTAACACCATCAAATTCAACTATAGAAGACCGACCAAATATGATTAATTCTCAATAGTATTCGCAGTTAGATCATCCATGTATGTTATAACTAATATATCTCGACAATTGGTGTTTGCGAATAATTTCCTACAAGAACTATAGCCTTGCACTCTTTAACATAACTCCATCTGGAGCCATTCTAAAGCTACTGCCGGTCCCAAGCCTCGTTAAATAAGGATGATTAGGCATGAGATTAGTAACCCCATATCCTAGAAAACATCCTTTCTAAAAAACACTTACTTCAAAAAATCATCTGCAGTATTTAAACTGTCCTGAGAGTTGAAAGATCTTCAATTAGAAGAGTCATAGCATCTCATGGTGAAAGCCAAAATTCATCGGAAATCTTACAAACTTACAAGCAGACAGTATCGCAGAGATCTCCAAAGCAACAGACACCAGCGTTTACAAGAGAAAAAGTCAGATACTCAAGTACATCACAATCGGAACCAACCAAATCTCAATCGTTCGAGAAGTTCTGGAACACGTGGATGATGTTACGTACCCGTTTAGTATTATTCATAAACAAGGGGGTCGTATACGGATGTAAACATAAGGATCGGCGAAGCAAGGACAACACTCCTAAAAGTGAAGAACATCTGGAACTGAAAACAGTTTTCAGACATTACTCAAATCAAATTTTCCAACACTTATGTTAAAAGAGTTTTGTAGTATGTTGCTGAAACTTGGACAACTATTACAACCATCATCAAAGTAGTACAGGCATCTATAAACATAGATACTCCAGATGCGTTGTACAAACGCCATTAGCAACAACCTACCGTTGCAGAGAATAAATCATCTTATATGAGGTTTAGAAACTAGAAAAAGATGATTGAGGTGGATCAGACACACTCTACAGAAATCATTAAAATGCATCAAAACACGATCTCCAACTTTGTATTGTCAGGACTAAAATATGGTAGACAGATCAAGGAACACTATGCACCAGGTATTAGAAGCAGATGTCAAGAGAGTAAATAGTACTTGGAAATACCTAGAAATTAGAACCTAGGGTATTTAGTGGGAGACCCCTGTTTGGTGACTTATGCTCCACAAGGAGTAAAAAGTGTAATTAAGTAAGTAATCAATAAAAATTATTCTCTAGTTAGTTGTTATCAATAACATTGTAAAAGAAAGGAATGTTGTTAGTATGAGGTTCACATTTCTATTTCATCTAGAAAATTGTAGATCACTAAGGTCGATGATCTATGTCGAATGATTGGGGGCCCACTAGAGTTAGACGGGGATGGTATAACAAACCAGCTAACTTCGAAGTCGTACCTCGCGGTCAGCACCTTACGTGAATTACCCCATCAACGTATCAAGGTACTATAGATGCTTTGAAGACTGTACAAAACAAAGGACGTTATTACAGAAAAATATTAGTTAAGGTGGATACAAGCGAAAGTACGACTGCCACCCATGGGCCAGTTCATGGCATACGATTAACTGATGCGCATTGGTTGTTCTTGACCTTGACGAGGATCGATGATCTGTTCGATATTCAGTGGTCCAACTGCCAGATGATTTTTCTAAGGCTCAGTGACATTTCACTGGCCCTACAAAATAATATTTAAGTCAAGTATTCTGTATAAAATTCAGATTAATTATGAAGACTTTCCAAAAGATACGAAAATATATTGTCCTATTTGATAATACATCAAGAAACTTGATCTAATTAATTAGATGAGATCATAAGTAACGGACGATTTTTGAGAGACGTCAGACTGACCTTGAGAGAGTCCACTTAATAACCAGGACTAAATAAGGTTTATAAACCTGTGTGAGGAATTAGAATTATGATTTACATTTAATAATTAAGGTTAGGAATTAGATTTGTGGAGCTTTTTGCATCATGAACTGATATCAGCTATAATGGTAAAACTCTATTTATCAGAAAGGGTTTTGTGGAGATTGTAGTAATTTCAATGGTTAAGATCATGAGTCATTTGAAACTAGACCACCATGGAAAACCTGAGGCGAGGTCGTGGATGCGCACTACTGAGGAGTCCCATAATAGGACGAAACGGCTGTCCAGTGCTTTCAGGTTTTCCATGGTGGTCTAACTTCAACTGACTCATGATCTTAACTATTGAAAACTCTATTTAGCCAAATGGATCGATAAATTTCGCGGCAATATACGAGACCTATTATCTTATACTTGATTAGTTCGTCCATAAATTATATAGTCTCATCATAAATTCAATAATTA